ACTTTAACTATTAATGGCAAATGAGTAAGTATACGAAAAAAGCCCGCGTTTTAACAGTTTCTCATCCACGTCGTAGTTCTGGTCCGTTGTTGTTATACTTCTTGCAGAAGGTTTCACTTTGGTTAGTGATGGATCAAGGATATTGAAGTCCTCAACATTTGCTTCAGTTCGTTAGGTCTTGAGTACCCTTATAAACGTGGTGCAGCCGGGGTAAAATTGGATAACTATGCGTCACGTATGCAGTTTGTGTGTATAGGAGCTCAACCAGAAGACAAACAGCCAGCAACGCTTGAACACAACTCGGTGATAATTCCGAAGCTTTTATGCAGGTATTTGTTTACAAATGACACATAATATGTTTCCTGATAACAGACTCATATTGTCCTCTTTAACAGACGGGCAATTTTCTTTCAATATTCTATCTTGCCAGTCTAGATAGTAACAAATGAAAACAAACTCATGTGTAACTAAAAGTTTTTTTATCCTGCCCAAAGAGACAGACTAACCATTTGTCCATTGAGCTTCAAATTCAGGCTCTATGCTTAACAGCTGAGAATTCTAGACACTTCTCGTTGCTAACACTCTAGTGCTGCTAAACAGTCTAGAATATCCACTACAAGATCAAGCACAAGGGAAACTTACAAGTCCACTGAGTAACTCGCCGCATTAAAATAACCTGTTATAGCTTAAAAGAGTACGTGCCCAATTAATATTATGCTGCTTTAAAGCCACATTTTGTCGCTCATAACCGTGTTTATTAAAGACCCGACAACGTTTACAGAAATTTCCTTATTCATGAAATAGCCAGTTTATCTGAACCATTTCTAGGGTGAAAGTGTGAATTGAAAAGCACTTTCAGTGGTTATTAAAAGACAGTTCAGTTTAACGGTATATCTCACATCTAGTAAAACCTGACTAAATATTTTTTGGATTTGGTTGCAAAAGGGGCTGAAGGTGTTCAGGGACTTGCAGACTGAGACTGGTTCCAGTTTAACGCTTTATTGGTTTTTGATCAGAGTTACTTTAACTATACTCTGCTCAAATGACTACGTCATTTAAGCTAACGGCAACGCGACATCGAAAACATGTCATTTACGATCATTTACAGCGCATTGCATGGCATAGCTGATACATATTTAGTAATATATTATGAAAAGTATCTCTCTGTTCCTCAAGAAAGTCAGTATGATCCAGTATGCTCAGTAAAAAGCAAGCCGGAAACACGAGGATAAATACTTCACTCCCGGACTGTTTTTGTACGAATAAAGATATCTTTGGTTCGTTTGAACGAAGTTTGTTCTGCACCTTGACAAGGGATTGTACTGATGTATCCCCAAAGTAACGCTTTTTTCGTTTAGTTTTTAAAAAGGTCACTTTATTTGGTCAAGTCAGCAATGATCATTTGTCTACCACTTATAAGAAGTCCTGATGTAGAGAGCTGAACTAAAATGACCTCGAGTGTGGTAATCAGTCTCTGACAATACGAAACAGATCAGCGATGACACACCAACTGTCAAACAATGGCAACAATACCAAACTTTAATTTTACACATCTTATACTTTATTCACCGTATTCTCCGAACATATGGTGTGTTTTAAATTTCTTTACCCAACCACGTTCTGATGATTGCAACCTAGCAACGTAGCAAACAGAAATAATATTAAAGAAGTTGGCAACATAATTATAGGTTATTTTGTCACAGAACCATGCATGGACGCTATAATCTAAATGTAAATTTGTGTTTATTTTTAGTTGCTTTGTTTTTATGCTCTGTATTATAGAATATGATATTTATTTACAATACTGTATCTTTATTCCGCCAACGGCTTCTTAAAAATAACTCAGATGAAACTACCGAAATTCTCCCGAGGAGAAATTTCTGTGCGCTGAGCAGCGAAGCGCGTTCCCCCCGTTACCAATAAGCACGCAGATTCTGGTAGAAAGAAAGACTTATCACGATCATTTACTTGTTAACTTATATGGACACCAAGAGACACAAAAAAATGCCGCGTTATTAAGGCTAGATTAGATTGCCAAAATATTGTGTTCTTGGGACATTAAAGAGAAATAATCTTCACCACTTAAATGACCACCAACAAATTTCTTGAAATCAACATAGAGCTTGATGACATCCGGATGAGTTCCAAAAGCTCCGAGTAACTTTCAAGAAATTTGTTGCTTGAAGAATACTTCTTTGTAATGTTGAGAAATTTCAGTGATATATAGTGGTTATTACATTAGTTTTACTAAGGCTACAAGTCAAGGTGGTCTATCTCGGCAAAAGTTAACATAATGCGTTCATCAGAAGTTCTCTTTTTTTAAGAACTCACCAAAATAGCTGCGTTCTTGCGAAATCAGGCATTTTCTCAAAAAAAACTTGAACAGAGTCCCATATTTTTAATTCGAACCTGAAGACAGAGATACTATATGCATGTATTTGAATATGACAGGTGTACTACATGTACCATGACTTATTATCATTACAATAGCGTGACTGTCACAGAGTGAAAGAAAAGCTCACTGCGTACTGGGGTCAATCATATCGATGACTACATCTTCTACGAACCCGAGAAATTTTTAGCAACTACGACAACAGCGCAGCGCCTCGGTATCTCAAAAGTGGGGCGTCACATATCGGATAGGTTCTGTGCCGCACTTTAGTGTGGTCTGAACAAGTATTCGGACCGTGGCGGGAAAAAATAAGTAGGAGAGAGTCCTGGAACCCGCTCGAAGACGGAAGTAAATATTCTAAAGTGAGGATTGGGATTAAGTGTACCAAACCCTCTCGGCCAACTGCTCCTGTACAATGCTGCAACGGCTTTTCATGTGGACGCAAAAGCCGTCCGGTATCGTGTAGATTCGCTGTGTTCACAAACACCTGAATAATTCAACATGCTCCCTTCTTTTCATAGGTTCTTTGGCCATTAGATCTGCGGTTCCTCAGCAACAAGTTTCTCTTCTTGTGCCATTGGTCAGGAACCCATAACCTGCAGCGAGTAACTTCCATGAGCTCGTGTCACGGCATTTTCACGGCCCAGTTTATTTTTGGAACGGTTTTGGCGCGAATTTTGAATATCTTTTAAATTCCACCAACCACTCAGCAAAACCTGCAGACCTAAAAATGATATTTTTTGCCTTTTAATGACGTTTAGTTTTTCCTTTTTGATATCTTATACTTCGAATGCGCTCATAGACACAATGGAGATTTTATTTTCGTTGGAAAAAGTGCCCTAAAATGTCTCTAAAAATAAACTGGTCCGTAAAAACGCCGTGACATGGGCCTAGCATGGGAGTTGCTGGCTCCGAGTTACGGGCTCCTGTATTGGTGGACTTGTTTTCCACTCTGATTAATTTGGAGGGGTTATTTAGGTACGAAAGATTTAAAATCATAATCATATTTAGCCTGAAAAAATTAGCACGCCATGACCTTGGCTCAGTCTCCTTCAGCCGTTGGTGTCTAGATGCGCCCACGATTCCTTTCACCTCACGTCCCTTGCTACCTATTGTGAAAAAAGGGCGAAATACTATAAGGTCAGTCGGCAGTTTTGTTTCCTTTACCCATTCATCTCACTCCCGGTCTCTTTTTTATTCTAAGAGTTGCTTGTGGAGGCTGGTTTTAGTCATGCAAATTTCATCACCGTTATCATTAACCGTCTCTGTGCATCACACGCTATATTCTCAAATAAGAAATTATTCTTTTTACCGTTCTATATGCCTTGCATTAATTTGTAGGCTATTAAATCTCGCCATTCTCTCAATGAGAAAACTGTATACTGTTCTTTGTGGCCAAAAACCAACAACCGACTACCTGCGGACGCTTGAAAGTACACGGCTAATTTATCTTACGTATCAGTATGTAGTTTTTGAGATCCAGCAACAGTTTGTTTATCTTTCCTGATTGGTGATACGGCATCGTCATTAATGGACAAAATTTTATACACCGTCGCTGCGCCATCCTTCTCCACATCTTCAATTCTGTATTTTTCATCGAGAAAATTGATAAGTCTGCTTCGCTGCTCTCCCGTAGAACACTGATTTGCGATCCACTGCGCAGTTTGCCTGCTGATCAAACCCAGTACGTATTTTTCCCACAGATGGGTCGATTTGTCAGGCAAATCTTCGTTGAGGTCATTTTCACCCTGTTTCTTTCTCCAATAATATTTAGGTTTTAATCGAAACGCTGGCTCTTTATTTCCACTTGGCATATAGAGACCGTGTTTTTGAGGCAGGGCGTGTTTTTTCTTAGCTTTGCGTCTCTCTTTATTTTTACTTTCCTTGTTAATGGAGATGTCACCAAGCGCGTAAATGTTCTTCATGTCGGTTGAAAAGTATGACGATAAAGATGGATCGCCACGGCAGCTGATTACTTCTTCGGTAAATTTCAGAGACGGCAAGCAAATCTTTTTCGGCTCCTTTTTCATAAACAAACATTCCGGTGATCTGCCGTTGTGTTTGGATACTGACTTCACAAGGGCTAGTTGGGACTGCCTGTTGTGTACGTAGTTCATTACAAACGAGTTGATATCGATTGCTTCATTCCTTTTCTCGTTCTCACCTATTTCAGATGTGCAAATTTTATAACCTAGAAATAATTCCTGATTGTTTCGCGGCTCTCCCAAATTTCTTTTCCTTCTTTCCATGTGCCGGCTTTTTGTCAATGATGGATTTTTCCACATGAAATCGCTCGTGCTGTAGCTTTGTTTCTGCCACCCAAGAGCGCCGATTCTTGATACAGAGGAAATTCGCCCTCCCCTGACCGCCGGTAAAAATGAGTTTGTTTTACTCATGTCTGTCTCAAATGCTCGCAAGCTAGGAACTGCTAGCTGGATATCGAGTAGAACTGATGAAAAGAAAGATTTAAACGTAGTTTTCCCGACAAGTTGCTAAGCAAATAAATATTGCCAAAAACCGCACCCGTCAATTGGACGAAATTTAAAACAACCGATCAACTCTTCAAAAGCCGCCATGCCATTGGCCGAATTTTTAAACCGCTATGTGGATAATTAGAAACCTCAATGACCACGGTCTCTTTGTTATTCGTGTTTTGTATCAAATGAAGCGATTTTACGATGAAAAATGATTGGGATAATGAAGCTAAACGGCAGGACATAAAACAGTCTTACCTTTGTCTAGTGGGAAAAGATCATGCAAAGTGAAGATCAGATTGAATTTGTGGGTAGTTAAAAAAGTCGCCAAAACGACATCTACCAAAGGAAAATACCAGAAGACGCTTTCATTATTCTTTGGATACATAGATTACAAAACTATAGTTTTGTGAATCGATGCCACGCACAGAAAACTTTCTTTTATTTTCCAGTGAAATTAAAGTGCCAATCATTTAAAAAAAAAATTATGCGATCACAGGAACTTAAAAAAAGTTGATGTCAGGAAAACCAAAGCATCTGTAAGACCGGTTCTTGGCATTCACGCTTCGCTGGAGTTTTGTCGGAAATAAACTACAATTCAATACTTCCTGCCGACAGAACGGTTCAAAATTTTTTTGAGATGAAATTCTATTCAAATAATTGGTAACAGTGTCTTTACTAATGAAATGCTGTTTGCCGTTAGTGATGTATGCTGTGATCTATAGATAGGCCATTTGCACTAAGAGGTCTTGTGACATCATTTTTATGAAAATGAAATTTGTATGATTTTGCCTTCAAAAAACCATTAGTAGGTCATATCTTAAACAAAATAATAGTGATTTAGTTTTTCAAACCGGCACCATTTTCTTAAAATGAGTGCGTTCCTAGCTGGTCAAGTGACCAAAATGTGATTTTTTAAAACTATGAATTAGCTCTTTCTGAACAGAAATTTTGCACTTAAACTTCAAGGAAATTGTTGAAAAGATGATGTGGTAACGTTTTCAGCACATCTGAGCGTAACTATTAAACGTTTAACAAGATGCAAGCAACAAGTAGTTTTGGCCGCCATGTTGGAGGGCAAGAGTATGCCCTCCAACATGGCGGCCAATGCAAATCATACTATTTTGTTGAAAAATCAAAGTGCCGTAAAATATCTCCCTTAAATGCGTTTCCTCTCAAATTACGGGTGTAAGATAATTTTTATGCGCCCCGTCAATTTTTGGCATCAGCAAGATTCCAGTGTTTAAAGGAAGCATTGGTCACGTGACCTCTTAGTGCAAGTGACCTATTGATTGATATTCTGTAGGAGCTTGTAATTCAGTTCACTTAATATTTTGCCGAATCCGGTCTTTTCAAGGTGAATTGGACTTTGGCTCAGTGTATCTCCTGCTTTTCATAGAGCATTCTCCGGATATAGCTACATATCACCCGCCCGGTTTTAGCTTCATAATACTGCATCACTCTCGCTCCCAAAGCTTGCGTTCTCCTTGACCAGCGGACGGAATTTTTCCCAAGAAAGAAGCGGTTCCTCTGGTACATAAGAAAACAGCCAAAATTTAAATTTGCGACGCCACCACTGGTTCCCCCGCGAAATGTCGTCCGAAGAACGAGCACGCATAGCAGATGATGTGTCACTACCCACAACTGGGTAGTGCATCTGATTTGTCGTACTGCGAGATACTACGCTCATTCAACCAATCAGAGGCATTACCCAGATCTAGGCAGTGACACGTCATCATTTTGGAATTTCTGTGCCCTTCCTCAGACGTCATTTCGTGGGCAACCCAGTGGTAAAAAGTCAGTTGGGCTACTTTAATATCGCATGGCCCGCAGTTTGTATTAGACTCGCAATTTTTTTATTGTTTAATGAAGATAATCCCTTTTAACGTTACACCGGCAGTGTTAGAACTAGTATGAATTAAACACTTGATATACTGAATCTGAAACGAGACTGAAAACTATATTAATACTAAAGGTACGCTGGTAAAACGGGCAACCAAAACGTGCAACTTTAATTGTTTTGGAGCAAACGAGTTGAATAGTGATATTGCTCTTTTTAATTACCACGTTCAAACCTGTTTTGCAAAAAGTCAGGATGTTGCAGGTTGCGAAAAATTGTCGCACGTAGTAGAGAGTAGTTCTGCTTTTTGCACAAAATCTGTACATGTTGCGCGTTAGTACCGGCCCGAGGCAAACTTGTTTTTCAGCAAGTGGCGTACCTCGCTTGTATGAAGTGACTCTCGCGTAATTTTCTCTATCAGAACTCAGTATTCACGAAAATTGCAACGACCTGATTTTTTGCAAGGTAGTGGGTGGTGAAACGCGCAATATCGCTTTTCTACTTGTTTGCAGTAATGTTGCAAAACAGGTTGCACGTTTTTTGTTGGCCGTTTTTCCCTTGCTTTTACTAAAAAATCGACTTTAAATTGTCCCACTTAATTTCTGCATTTATTGTCGGTTTTTGACTTCCTCCGCACGCGTGCGAGAAACAGGGCGAGAAAATCAAAAATACGGCTGGTACCCGGGGTACTTTTTCATAAGAAAAATACAAAGAAAAGAAAACGGAAATGAACCACGACGGAATTTTTCTGTGCGAGCAGTGCCTTTAGAAATTCTATCCATATGCAGGAACTTAAACATTTGGCCCTTGAAGCCTTGACGCGGCAGGTCCTCAATGAGGTCTTAACGGCTGTCTACAGCTGTATTCAGGCAGTAATCATTTCTCTGGCACCTGTGCTTCTGTGAAGTTTTCTATGCCTGGGGAAACCTTAACCTCATATATTCTTGTAAGCGTTAACATGTGAGCACCACAGATTAACTTAATTTGCGTTTTGAATAGTTAAATCAGCTACAACGCTCGATATTGTCACACCCCAGGACGTCAAATTGTGGCATGGTTAATGTTTTGGCACGTGCTGGTTATTGGCTATTCAGCATAAATTATCATAGATTAAAAGAATGGCAGAATGCGTTATTTTTCACGTGTTTAGGTAGGAAACTAGTTCAATCCTGGCATGGAAACTAAAGTTTAGAAATATGACGATTTGTTTATGAAATGTGTAACAGTCGAATTTTTAAGGCAAATGTCAAGTTTGCTTCTCTAAGTTCAGTGAGATGTGCTTTTAGTATAGCCTCTGCAGAGTTTGGAAATCTACTTGTGGTGTGGCCATGCGTTTAATTATTCATAATTATGTGAATTAATAAAATCAGTAGACTCAAGAATAATTAAGGTATGATTAAGAAGCCACTTTTAAACGCAAAAAACGTTTTAGAGAACATGAGACGGAAGGCTGCGCTAATAAGAAGAAAGGGCAGTGAATCACTGGAATATTGCTACAAATGTGTCAATGTAACACAAGTATTCGGGCGCGTGTATATCTTAGCGGGGCATGTTATAATCGCACTTATGAAGCGAACAATACGATCGCGTGGTCTTTTGTTTTTCAAAGGTTTGAAATCTGCGTTTTTGATCTCCCGGGCACAAAGCAAAACTGACTTTAAATCTAGTCTGAGAAGCCGATTTGAAGAGAAAAGTTGTTTTGTTGAGATCTTTTAATTGAATCAGGAAATCTCGGTAGAGCGAAGTTATTATCACTTTCACTTTAAAATTGCGTTTTAAAAAAGTTGTCTCAATCGGGACACAGTTTTTAATTTACTTATCAGAAGAAATAAACAGATGCACCTTCGATTTTCTTATCCTTTGGATGTTGTCAGTTGCGAATGTTTAGGAGAAATCAGTTGAACGAAAAAGCGGGGAAATTGTGATTCATAGCAACTAACTTACAAAAGGCCATTCTATAGAATGTTTACAGAAGTCAAGTCTTGAGGGAAATCTTGACATTTTAAAGACGTTACAATTAAACTTACGGTGCATTTTTACATCGCGAAAGAAGACAATGTAACGTCTCCAGGAAACGTAAATTGCCAACGTGCTATTGAACCACGATAACAATATTTTCCATCATTACCGACACGGAACAGATAAAAGAAGCATTTCTAGCGTTGTTAAGGCCGTTGATCGCGAGCTTTCGAGTTTAGTTTGAACAATTCTGGTAGCGTTTGTAGGATCAGCTGCGGGATTAATTCAGATGACAGGCTAAACGCCTCATAATTTACAAAAGAGAAGCAAATTGATTCGGCCCCTGAACACATCGGCTATTGTTGGTTGCAGCTGGCATATTTTAATTAGAGTTTGTCTAATAATTCTTTTGTGAAACGAGCTGTTGTCAATAGAGATAACATATGGACTGAAGAGAGGCTACAAGGAAATATAGCCACAGGAAGGAATGATCGCAAATATTTCAGGTATTTTTGCGCTTGGGTATTTCTCATTTTCCCCTGATGTTGTGTGTATTCAAACGCGCCATTGATTGTCGGGAAGGTTGGAAAGGCAGCGAAAAAAAAACTGAACGAAAATCGTCGATAAAATCGGTACTATCTCGAGCTAAATTTGAGCGCCTTGAAGTTGAAAATTTTTGTCGCAATTTGCATATCGCCCAAGTTGTGCTTTTTCGCTGAGCAGAAATGTAGACGTGGTGTTCTATTCTCGGTAGAATTTGTCGATTTTATTTGCTTGAGACCTCACGAAACTAATTCAGCTTTTTTTTGGAAAATTTTAGACGAGTTTAGGTGACACACATGCCCTCTGTAAGTAACCAAATAAAAACAAGACTGATGAAGAATAACCACTTGGCTTTTGTTCAGTTTTCTACGCGAGGAAAAAACAACAGTCTCCAAACAATCCAGCGCTTTTATTCTGTGTTATTGAGCGTAATATTCTTAGATTCCAGCGCGAAAAAGATTGCTTCGTAAAGAAAAACAATATCTTAAAGCTTCAGCCTTCGTTCATAATTGATGTAGCTTTCGATAATCTCTCTCACTGGCGTTTTTGCCAAAGACATCTGCTTTCGAGATTTTAATTAGCCAGCGAGATTCGCTGTAGTGTATAAGTTCCCGTCAGGGCAGAACTGATGGAGGTTAGATTCTATGCACCTGCATCTTAGTCCTTAGTGGTCTGAAAACAATAGCGTCACGTGCCGCTTCCGAAAAAGTGCTTTTAAGATTTCCTTACAGTTTTGTCAATGTCAATGCATAGACGTTGAATCGAGCAATGTCTAAATCAGTTTCTAGTTTTCAAAAAGGGTTGAATGGATATAATAGTGCGTTAAAACAAAAGTGAGCGCCAATGTGAGGTTATAATTCGCTTTCAAGTATGCAGCTTGCAGAAACTTCAAATTCTCAACTGGCTTCCATATTCGAGGCGATTTCCCGCTTTTTGATTGGTTGATGGTTAGTTCAGCTGTTTATTTATGAATCCTCTTAGTTTTTATGGCTTGCCGTGTACGTGTATCGTAAGGATATTTCTCAATTACTTAACTAACTCCTTATTTTTCTGGGTTGGCCGTAGAGTTGGTCAACGTCCGAAAGTTGTATTTTGCAATGCAAATGCATAGACGAAGCAAAAATAAATTTGAGTGCTCATGAATAAAACACGAGAGAGCATGCCACTTTGAACAATAAAATATTCGTCCATCTGGCGTGTAGCGCGCGCAGTTCCGTAAGCATATCAGCGGTTTTATATTTTCAAATGGACTTGAATACACATTTGAGTCTAATACTAGCGGAGTGGTTGACTTCAAAAGAGAACCAGCCGACGACTCGCGCAAAATTTTGACAGCGTAGAACATTAATTACATAATAACACACAAACATCAAAATTCAATTCAATCAGGGCCGATAGAGTCACAGGCAAGAGGCAGCTGTTTCGCTGCTAACTGTGTTATCCACCGGTGGGGAAATACGGCAGTGAGGGAAATACGGGCGCGTATTTAATGGTTCGAAACTGGATGGATTTGCGCGTTGTTCACGGTGCTGCCAATTCTTTCACAGGATCTATGTTTGTTCCACGAGGCGAGCCGCAGTTTGTGGAGTTTAGAAGCAGGGAGGAACTGAACGCACGAAGGGCAGATGTTAAAAACAGGCCGTTCACTCAAGCAGTGTTTAGCAAAGATGTAGACCCCAGACAAGTATTCTCTCCGGCCGAAAGACATCAGAACGGCGCCCAACGACCTGAATTTACAAGGTAAGCCGGTTGAAGTTTGTGTGACAATTTTTATTGTTGTCGGATATTGCACGGAATGGTGATATTGCAAGTACTCGACATGACTCGGCGGAAATAATTGAATTAAAAAGAGGCCTTTGTTCCGTAGTGAAATTCACTTTTACAATAATCTTTTCATCACGCGGTAGCTAGAAAATAGAGAGAAAGAGGGAGTCATTTAGGTTTCCAATAATCATGAACTGATTGATTCAGCTCACAAGTGGACCTCACATAGTGCTTCGTCAGTCTATCGCCTTGTCTACATCTTCAACTTGAATTTCTCATGTCTTTATTTTTGATGCATTATTAATAGCGCCTTATTTGTTTTGCTATGTTTGTCATCTAATTCAATGAAAATTACATATTTGTCGAGTTTACATCATTATACGAAGAAAAACGTCAAAGAAAAGACTGTTTGGAAGAATATCGCCTTGAAAGTGTTTTTCATTTTTACAGCTCACTTGTCGACATTGTAATATACAAATTCGTACGATTAATTTTTAATTACAAGCAACGTTTGAATAAATGATTAAGAAAGTGTAAACTTGTAATTACGAAAAAAGGTAATGTTTTTTGAAATCTTAGATGAATCAGTTTGGTTGTTTGGTTTGTACATCATCATGAATATATATACTGTGATCACGGTACAACTCAACGTAGGAAAAGGACATATTTTGTAACCTAATTCACTTTTAGCTTATCATTTAACCCCCTGAATTATGGACATATTATAAATTTATTCAGAGTTTGTATTTTTGTTGGTACTTGCTCAGTGATGTTTGTATGCGATAAATTTCTAAGTCAGTCTCTCTACCTTGAGATGAAAATTTAAACCAGGAAAAGGCGAGTATAAAACTGAAAAACATTTCAAGCAGGAATGCGGAAAAGGAAGAAAAAGTTAAGATCACGTTTTCCAGCGGAATTCTGGAATGCCTAGAATGCTATAAATTGCAAATGAATAGTCGATGTTTTTGCCAGAGTTTGTGAAGGCATTGTGCCTTAACGATTTCTCTACTGTTAGCCAATCGAAAGCATCTCAAGCGGTATAATCACTGAGAAAAATTCAACGAAGTTTTCAAACGCCTTTTTCAGAGGCTCTTTCTTTCAATCAGAGCCGGGATCAAGAAAATATTAGTATTAGGTTGATAATCTTTCTGTCTTTCTTGATATATAAAGTTACGGTTCATGTATAGGACCGCGAGTGACCAACTTCTCCTCGTCAGCTCAATAAGACATCATGATTTACCCAACCCTGAGCATAACATTCGTGCCAAGTGCATAGTTATGACGTCTTGACGACAGAATTCCGTTGTAATATCTATCCGCGCATTCTTATTTGCACCAGTCTGTTTTATATCGGGTCGAAAAAATTGCCTTGTTTATTGCTTAGGGTCCTGCCTTTTAATTTTGTATTTCAGATCACCGCCGTCGTAATTTCAGTAGAAAGGTTCTCCATGCATACAGTGAACTGTTTTAGTTTCCTTGCAGAAAGAATGAAATTGCTTTGGAGTTTATTCATCAAACAATTCGTGTATTGTTGCGGTGCCCATGGCAATGAAAACGTGCCATGCACTCAAACACGGGACATCTTGAAAAAAGCCAATAAACTTGACGGTCTCCTGCTATATATTAATAAACGTAGACCCTCCTTGAATAATTGAAAATGGGCTGAAATGTTTAAAAAGATATGCTAAATTCCATTTAGGAATTATCATTGCTGGGAATCAGTCCTTCTTACTATAACTATAACTTCCTACACTCAAAACGTGTCGCAAAGCGCATAATATACTAAATGGAATTTTTTCCCCTTTGTCTACATAGAATAGCCGGAAAGTTTTTCTCTCCACGGCGGATAGATATGTTATTCAATGTGTACAAAAAAGAGCGGGTTATTAAATATAGTTGGCCAGCCTGTCGTTCACAATTAACTGCTGTCTATTTTTAGTTTGATTCGCTCATTTTTTTTGTTATAGCTATGCCCCTTTAGTCAGACTTATGGCTTCTTCTTGCGTTCTACTCCAAAGACGTTAACCTCATTACAAGACAAAAAATTGCGAATTTGTCAGTTATATTAAGTTTACAAAAAAATAAAGTTGACGCGCAGGTTTTCCCATCCTTCATACACCATACGGAAAAAATCCACGAAATTGGTGACTTATAACTTCCGACTGACATATCTCATATCGTATACCTCAAATTAAAGATTAGCAGTCTGGTTTTGAGGGGCTTTTAGCAGTAGAAGTGGTCTTGACAGAGAAGGAAGACAGTAAGCACTTAAAAACTTCGCCATGATAAGGGCAAATGGTGCGGAGTGGACCCGGCTTTCCTTATATTGGACTGCAGAACACGTGTATAAAACAGGTGGGATGAGTAAATGACCGGCAGTCAGGCGTCGCCTGACATATATGTACTTTACAAAAGAACTGCAAAAGTAAACAAATGTAAGAATGTTTAGGAGTTAACTCTGTTTCGTCAAGCAACGATGTATCCTCGTTCTAATCAAGGTCATTTTTCAATCAAAATATTTCTCCATTTCTGATTGGCTAATTCTTCATAACCAAATTTGGAAGACGTTTGCGATATCCGGTGAAATGACGTGAGTAGTACAGGATAAAAGCCAGAAAAAAGGACGGCAACCGATAAGCCCTGGGACGAGGCAGCGTTGTTTTGGTAGAGTTGAAGAAAATCTAGCAGGAAATTTCACACGTTTTTGGAAGAAGAAATAGCCGAACTATTGCCTTAAAGCATAACAAGAACAGCAAAAACACAACTCAATGGATAACAACTGCTATTTGAGAATATCTGCTGTACTAAAAACTGGTTTATATTCCAAATTTGGAAAAAAAACTATAATTTCAGAGCTACCCCAATAATAAAACAATTATTGGATTCGGCTTTCGTAAGATCTGAAGAATTATGAAGTTCATACGAAAGCTGTCTTAAAAAGATTGTTTCAGGTTAGTTCTCTTGTATTCGCTTAGCCTTGATCACTCGGAAACGAAAACTTAACTGCTGGGAAGAAGTTAAAAATGAAACTACATACACAGGATTATTCAGTTCCAAAGTCTGCAGTACTTCAGCACGTCATGGCATGCATCAGAATACATTTTGTTACTAAGCAACATGCAAAGTACCGCGGGCTCGGAATGACTGGGAACAAATCGTTCAACTGGCGACTCAATAGTTACATGTAACCATATTCCAAGCACAGTCCAGTTTATTCAGCAGGCCTTTGCACAATATCACGCAAAATCAACTAAACATCTTTCCGAGTATTCTCGTAATTCTCATAAAACGACCGTGAAATATCCTTTATTTTAGTTGTAAATAACGGATTTTGAATCACTTACGCAATTATTTTCACTTACGTCTGCCGTTGTTGAGGGCCTCAATGATACTATTGCTATAGAAACATCGAAAAACAGTTTAAGAAATTTTCAAGAATGCTTTGGCTTTATCTGTACGAAATGGAAACAGTTTCTATCCAGGCGCTTCCAAAATCTTAAAAAACTAGATTAAAAAAGACCGAAGTCACATAGCAGCCTATTAGTTTTTCATGTTTTGATGTATGACTAAGTAAAAGGAAATTTAAAAGAATAGGGGATGACATCTCAGTGGTTTGATTTAAAAGTGCTCATTTTACATATATCGCTTGTGTTTAGCTGTCCAAACAGAACCGCTATTCTGTCATAAATTATGCAAAGCGAATACATGATGATTATCCTATTTTCTGAGGCAATGATTTATTATTACGGCTGAAAAATAGGAAGGGTCATTTGCAATTTCCAGTCTTTTAAGACTTTTGGTATATATGTGAAGCATTTCTTGCATGGAAAACAATTTCGATTGAATGCAGAGGTTATGTTCGGACATCCTACGATGACAGCTGATTTTAAGGGTATTGGCCAAAGTAATGAATATTCATTGAGCCCCCGAGCAGAAAAGCGAGGCCATCTGCCTCAGCGGATTGCTCAAATAATCTTTCCTTGAGTTGAAGCAAGCGGTCTTTAAGGGAGGTCTTAATTTAGCGAGTTCATGATCGCCGTGGCTCGCAGACTCCGGATCTCGACACAGCTACCTGACCTTGCAAATTACAAGAGAGGAGATGACGCAACACAAGGGCAGCGAAAAGAAGCAGAAACGACAGAAATCCTACTCAAGTGAAAAGTTAAGGTCTCTTTAGTTCTTTATTCATTCATATATCGGAGATAATTTGCGATTGCAGTTTTAGGAAACTTCATGACGCGCGCAGGGGGAAAGCGAGATCAGAGTTCGCTTGATTGCTAGTCACTGTGGACTGATTATTTCGTCTCTTTCTGGCTGCGGTTCTTTTTAGTGGCTTTTGATTTGATCTTCCTCAAAGTCTAACCTTAGTTTGCCTCTATGTCTACATGGCATCCCGTAATCATGCAATTACTGATTAAGTTACATTAAGCCTTCACTGGGCATTTCCGCGCGCGATGTTTGTTTGAATAATGTACATCTGTCGTACTCAGAGAAAACACTCCCCGAGTTCATGTTATCAGAAATTATTCACGGAGAATTTTATTTCTTCCTTTACATGCTCTCCATTGTTAAACTCTTTAAAGCGCAGATGGGATGGATAAAATCCTTTTTTAAGCTAGCTGGAACCCTTTTTGTTTTGTTTTACACCACTAAACAAGTTGTAACGAGCAACTATTTAAATACAGCTGTCCTATCCTATGCATATGCAACAAACCAGAAAAATATTACGCACTAGAAAAAAAATCTACATATAAACAGGTACCAGATATTTATTTTTCGTCGCCTTTGACAGAAAGACATTAAATCAAGAAGGTAACACATAATAAAAGTGGTATTTATACTTGTGCTTAAAATTCGCGAAGAGCGCCAGAAATCGAACCGACACTGGCAGCCCTCAATGTCATTTAATTTTAAAGAAAGAAATAATTAGAATGATAATAATACTTAAAAGGAATTTTTTGACTAAAATTTCATCGTCATTTCTTGTCGGACGAAATGGAAACTCTTCAAAGAACGAAGACGAATATTTATAGTTTTAATTTAAATGCAGTTTGTGATACTAAGCACATCATATTCATTACTTTTAACTGATTTAAAATCCTATTTCCGAGCCTGAAGGAAATCGTTGAAAGCCTGGAAGAAAAAAGAATTAGTTGACTATGTTAGTTTGTTTTAATGCTAAGAAATACTTCCTTTAATTTTGTGTGTGCAGTTTATTGTACTTTATTATTGGATTCAAATATTTCGGCTTCGCTGTGGCAACTGCGTTTTTACTTTTCTAATGGTTGATCATCTTCTTAATAGATTGAAATGCAAATAAAGTAACCTTTTTGTGCTTTTCTGTTTTATGCCTTCGGGGGAAAAAATCGAATTGTAGATTTTAGTTCTGGATAAACAAAGGAACCTTTGCGGTTTCAAGCGATAAATTCAAGTTAAAATTTGATCTTCATTTGTTTTATCTATGAAGAAATCCATATCTGCTGCAATCTAAAATCAAGAAGTCATATTTTTTTTTTGGGTGTATGAATGTAAATTTTGGAAACACAGCGAAAAGAGAAAATGGGTTTAGACTTGATTTGCGGTCCGCTAAATTCATAACAAACTTTGCTTTTAGCCTCATTTACTATTTAAATTTTACTTAAACATAAACAGCGTTAAAATGAGAATTTAACATTGATTTCTAAGTTATAAACAAATCTAAATCCTTTCAACAACAAAACTGGTCATCAGTTTTTTTACAACTCGCTGAGCTTGTCATTTATCAAAAGTCCCTATTCTTGTTGTCTAATCGTACTGACAATTAAGATGTTTGTTCTCCTTCTGTAAAAATTCAGGTTTTTTGCCTCACTCATCACGAATTCTAGTTCATGTTCAGCCCCTTAAAATTCTCAACACAAACTAAAAAAGAATACAAAAAATAAAACGTCAACCACAACAACATATAACCTGAGATCAGGCCCAATTTTAGCGGTTCTCATACATTCTCTCTATCAACGGCTACCGCTAAAATTCGTTTCGCCATGCCCGCCGGAATGTAATTTTCAAAGCGAAACGAAAATAGAGCCTGATCTCCGGTTACAACAACAAAACTCGAGCGTGAAAAGGCACGTCAGGCCGGGTTGGGGGTCGGGGTGAAGTCGGAGAAGAAGGCGACCAAAACGGATTCACCATACCCCTCTCAGTCGTACACCGCTATGGCATGACTTGTACTTAGTCCTCTTTTTTCTCTATTGTTCTGCGCCTTCAGTTAGCCATTCTTACAATTTACAAGATTGGAACATCTCTTAAAATTCATCAATCCCACTTTTAATATAGTGGTCCTCGTTAACTAAAAAAACAAAAACAAAAACAAAACAACAACAACAACAGCAACAACAAAAAGAAGAATTCTGGTAGTTATGTCAAGAAAAGAACGCTAATGAGATTCAAGTTGTTTATGACAGACGTCACGAAGTGTCCCGTGGCTCTAATCTTCAGCAAAAACGCAAGCAACAGGCCCTTTGATTTAGTGCTAGTTATTCACGTGGTACAAAACCGCCATGGTTGGAGAGAAAGAGACACACTGGTACTGTTATTAACTTGGCGCCATTACTTATACATAAAATGCCTCCTGCATGTAGAGTTATGAAGAAATATCATACAAATATCATAAGTGAGCACTAACCATAATCATTTCATTTTTTTTTTGCAAATTGACATTAACTTAAATTGTTTTTCAAGATTCAATCCATATTCATCCTTACTATCCGCAGAAATAGAGGACAGGAAACAGTTTCAATACTAAAATATAAGCTTAAATAACCTAACCGGATGATTACTTTTCGCACTCAATTGATGCGAGGACACGTCTTGACTTTTTAAAAAGATAGCAAAGACCGTCACATTGATCTTGTTGCTTGTTTTCCCCTGTACAGTTTCACGTTACGCTGTGAATGTCCTAGGCAAGTCTTAGGGTGAAGACGAAAGGAGATAACAGAAAAAACTTTTTTTCATTCTTTTTTTTTTCACAGTTTAGCTGATGTATACGAGGGAGCTCTTAGGAATGTCTTGGGCATTCAACTTCACTTGACTTTGGATGACCAGCAGTCGTTTGCTCAGGACACGATAAATGACCTTCTTTTCCGGGACAAGTCTTCATCCAGCCAGAACAGATCTTCAAGACAAGAGAATCTGAAAAGGAGAAGCGAAAACTACCAAAAGGATCGTCTAGGCGAGGAATCCAAAGACATTAAAAACTCGGCATCTTTCCAAGGACGCACACTTCTGAGAGACCCGAGACGAATGTCACCAGGATGTTCCGCATTCCATGTCCCTCCCAAAAAGGCGCGCATGGATGAAGAAATGAAGTACGCTGAGAGGAGTTACCCGATGGATCGTTACGGTGTACCCCATCATGGGCCTAATTTTCATTCGGACTATTCGAATTCGTTTCCCTCCCCTAGAGGATCACCCGGAATGTACCACAGAAGGCTAAATGGCCCCGAAGCCGTCACTCATGTTTACAGAACGAACGGGATGCACATACCCGTCGCCCGGGATCATTACTCGCCCTGGCCCGTGTTCGGACATCATCGGGATGTCCCGACATTGTTTCCTGTGCGCTGTTCGGTCGTTGAAAACGAACGGAGATTTCACCGGGGTTTTGTAGAGGAAGAAAAGCGACGAAGAATGGACTTGGCTTGTCTAAATGGGTTTGCTCACGAAAAAACGTCAGTACGGGTTAAGATTGAGGAGACGAAAGAAGAATACCTCAAACGAGACCAAAAACCAAGTCCAACCGATAAACAGAGTTCGTCAACTCCTGAAAAGGACATAAGACTTGAAAAACCGCGCGGCGAAAGGGAAAAACTTTCGCCTGCCTCTCCGTCAAAATCTAAATCAAATGCTTTATTAACAAGTTGCCTCTCGAGCCGTTCCAGTCCAGTGAATCATGGAACTGGGGCTATAGATTTTCGCATGGAGACACGATATCGTAGCGCGCTTAGGAAAATGGAGTCAAGAAGAGAAGGGAGAAAAGGAAGGGGCGAGGACGCTAAGGAAGAATTCCTCTTCAAGTTGGGACTTGAGAGAATTGAGGCTTGAACAATCTCAATATTAGGGAAGAAAACTGCCGCGGTTTTGTCGCTGTGGATACGTTGTTGGAAGTCATATTCGTTACGGCTGACCGGTTTGAGATACAACAAAAATGAAGAACCCTACTTTCGGGATTTACTACAACGGTACACGACGTCAGATATTGCATTTGACACCGTTGTCTCTGATGGTACAGTCTTGAATTATTTGCCCTGATCATGGGTATGAAAATACCTGAGAGACTTTAAAGTGAGTGCCATAAATTTAGACCAGAGAGGAAGTAAGAGGATAACTTGTATATCATGTCAATGTTGCTCAAGTGATATTTCGCCAAGCAACTGACTGTGAGCCTCTACTGGAACCGGTCGTTTCAATGTTGAGTTAGTGATTTGTCTTGAATTTCCTTATTTCAAAGCCTTTTGTCCTTTCCTCCCGAGATAATCATGATATTGCTGCCCTTGCTTGCCTAATAGAGCTTGGAAACCCTTTTCCATGGGTTTTCGTCATTAAACTAACTGTGCGTGTCAGACTGGCTTACAAAATGTTCAAAATAGTAAACAGCTCTTTGTAAAAACAGTCCAAAAACTGCAATAAATCGTTTGCTCCAAGATATTCGTTGTTGTCGGGTTCAACATATATCAAAGTGTTATCAATAAATATTGAAAGTAAGCTTTTAAATTTACTTTTTCTCAGAAAAAATGGCTCTGCATTCAAATCGTCGAATACCTCATGGGTTCATTTTTCGTGAGTTTGTAGATTAAACAACCTTTTTCAATTAAGACAAACAGTTAAGAGCAAGTGAAACATGTAAACCAACCCAAGGTCTGGCCATTCGTCCCCAGAGCCCGTCGTTTCTCTTGGTCATGTGGTCTTGTTACAAATTAAGTCGAGTGGTTTTAAGGCTTGCGGCCTGGCCGATAACTCACGCATGCGCACAGCCAACCTGAATTAATTTAAAGAGAAGAAGACACGAAAAGTATACTGGATAAGTGCTTCACGTAAGGACGGTGAAGAACGACCAGAGCCCAGAACCAAGAGCTATCTTGCCAGAACCCATTCCGATTTCAGTTCAGATACACGGTGCATCCAACTCTAGTAACATAATCGCAAGAATTGTAACTTACCTCTTTTCTAAAAGGAAAAATTGTCATACCATCTCTCTCTTGTTCGGTCCCGTGGTCCCTCTCGCGCCTCACTAATTAACCCAATGAGAAAACGAAAACGAAGGTTGTTTACCATTCACAAAAAGTTTTCGGAAAATCCGGTCGTAACGGTAAATGGAATACCATTTTCTGGGTAGTTCTAGCGGAAAATTTCTGGGCTTAACGGAATCTCTGGGCGTTTTCTATTTACTAAGAAATTCCTGAAATTCCGGTTGGGATGTAAATGGAACATAATTCTCGACGGTAACTGGAAAATTGAAAAGGTGGTCCTGTTTTTCTGGACGGAATGTTCCAAACGGAAATTCGTGTTCCGGCTTCGTGGCCGCTTTTAATCAAATGTAAAAACTGATTTGTACAAATGGTAAACTAGATTCTGGAACGAGATTTACCAGTCCTAAATTTTGCGGCTTACCATTTGCCCAAACCGTGGGCCGAGCGGTTTGTAGCCTGCGCAGCTGCCGGTATTGTGTGATTAAAGTTTTGGCGGCGGAGCTACGATCCAAAAAAGGGAGTGGGGACGAGGCGGGATTTCTCGCGGCTTCGCCGCTCGTGGGGGCCAAATCTCACTCGACTGGTACAGCGGCTCCGCCGCCAAATCACCCGAACACTACAAAATCACTCGACCAGTACAAAATACCGCCAGCTACACAGGCTAAGCGGTTTGCCCATGTAAATAGTAAAACAGAATAAAAAAAAGGCTGGGTAGGTGAGAGTCGGCGACATACCTGAAAGACCAAGAACAAGAAGTCCAAAGACTACAGCAAAGCTGATTTAAAACAACGTGTATTTTTTTATAACAATATTTCGGCTGGCCATACCAGCCTTCTTCAGGTTTACAGATGTGACTGAACTTATGTAGCAATTACAATATTATATAGATGGAGAATGTCGCAATAAAAGGGAGAGGCGGAAATGACGTACAACATAAAACTGGAAAGGGAAAATACTAAGGATTACAATAATTCGTCACGGCGGTTTAGGCCATGAGGTTCAAGAGTCATACCTGAAAGACCTGGAGTGCCTACCATTTGTATGGAAAACCCGGGGAGAATTCAAATGGAACAGTTCATCCTGGTGGAAATTTTTCGCATTAAAAGTAATACCTTTCGAGGTATTCCCTTTTTCCCGTTCTTACCGAAACGACCGAAATTTTCTGTACCATTTGTGTGGATTACCAGTGCCAGGCTTCATGTCGAGAGAAAGTGAAAAATTTACCGGTAATTTGTAAATAGTACAACTTAATCCCGTTCCTGTTTTCGGTGCCCCCCCCAAAAAATACTAGTATCATTTGACGGAAATTTTCCAACGAAATTTCCGCACAAATGGTAATAGCCTGCGTACGGCAGACGTTTCTCCTCGCTCATCGCCGCTGAGGGACGTTTCACGAGGAGAAACGTCTGCGACTCAGCGAAACGTCCCTCAGCGGCGATGAGCGAGGAGAAACGTCTGCCGTTCGCAGGCTAATGGTAAGTGCTCCTTAGCCGTCTGAAAGATGGTTACGTTTGGTTGCGGTTGCAGGCTCAAACTGGTTTGATTTTGCGCAATCAGTCGTGGATACAAAATGACCCGCTATTTGGCTGTTTCACATAGTTTGTACGAGGTGATTGGTCATCCTGACGAACGACGTGACCCGTCCCTAGCCCGCGAAGCAGGCGTCGGCGAAAGGGGTAGGGGATAGGGAGGAAAAAGGAGGGGGATTGGGGAGAGAGGGTAAGGGACGCCTGCTATAAGAACCTCCTTTTGTTCATCGATCGCTGCGGACGCTGGCTCCCTTCCCTTTTCTCCCCTTTTTCGCTTTTTCTCTCCCCTATCCCTTCCCCTTTTTGCGCCTGCCACGCAAGCTACCAGTCCCCTCAGGAGCCCATGGTCCCCTGCAACATGCAAGCAGACGAGCCCTGATTTCGTTTTGTATTTTCTGAAAATGGTTTCAGATTTTCCAAAAACGTTTCCATGAAATGTAGACTGTGTCGTAGACAGTCCAATTCCCGATATCGAGGTTCTACCTAGGCCACGAGTGACATTCTGGCTGCAACGTTAAAAAAGGTTGCAACGCCACGATGCCTTGCGTTTCGTTCGAGTATGATATGAGCCTGCGAGATGACGGTGTGCGGTAAGTTTTCAAAGGGTATGCTATGTTCCTGTCACGAAATCATCCTTTGGTTGAAGGAAAATGTCGAAAAAATGTCCACTTTGCTTTTGAACTCCAAGCGACCGGGCGTGCAGTTTGAGGATAAATGGCATGAACTCAAACCTACAGTGAACAAGCTTCTAAAACAGCAGGCCGTTACGACCCAAGAATGGCAGAATCTGTTCTGGTAAGTAAAGCAAATAATATGCCGGTCGATTGAGAGACCGCATCAGACCATATTCATTCTTAGGTATTTTTTCCCATTGATTAGGATCGCATAGCGGTTTTAAAAACTCATAAAAGCGACATTTTATAATTATACACTCATAGTTGTTTTTTTGTTCAAATCGACGTGCTATTTGTAAAGTCTGGCAGTCGTTTCGTTTTTCCATGCACTGCGTCTACCCTTTCTCCAACCTGCTCATTTGTCAAACAAGATCATATTGTACATTTGAATAAATAACAATAATTATTATTGTTGTAGTTGTTGTTTCCTCGGGGTGTGGGCATTTGATCACCTAGAATCAACCTTTGATGGGGCATTTGAATGGTTTTTTAGCAGGAAGTTGTTGCCCGAAGATGTTGGAGTCGAAATTTTTATTTATTCACCTGCTTGTCCTCTTTGCCTGTTCTTGCTTTTAATCTTAGATTTGCTAAAGATAAAGTCCCACGTTTGGTCCATTTTAGCATTTTTTGGTGGGGGGTCTAAAATACAGGTCACCTTTCCACATGTCAGAGTACAGATCACCATGATACAGACAAATGAAAAGCATTAAAAGTGTCTCCTAGCCCTAATCTTTTAATAATTATGCTCTATTAGATCAAGTGGAATCTTTTTGGTGTGCTAATTTATTGATGGAGCAGTGACATGTCCTTTAGACCTTGCCGGACATGGTGGTGTGAAAATCAAGTCTGTATGGGAATACAAAGTTGACTCATTCTTGCTAATTGAATATATTTGCCACTTTCCCTTTGCAAACCTTTTTCCTTTTTAGAAAACCTGAGTTCTTCCATACCTTTTCTGTAATCCGACAACACAAAAACTGGAAAAAGTATGGAAGAAGTGAAATTTTCTAAAAAGCGACAAAGGACTGCTGTGCTGTCCACATTAATTTTAGTGTATTGCTCATAAGTTAAAGTTTGCAAAGAGAAAGCGACAAATATATTCGATTAGGAATAATTAGTTGGCTTTGAATTCCCAAACAAACTTTTGACTTCTCCACCATCTTGTCCTGATTACCCAGCATGCCCTCACAACCATGAATGGGTCTTTAGGAAACATGGTGAACAAATAAACAAAGCTGAAATTTGGCCAGCATGTTCTACAGTCAGTATTTAGTGCTTACTGACAAGGCTGTGCTCTAGGGAAAATTGAAGGGAGCCCAGTGCTCTGAACCTGTAAAATCTAGGGTACCCAGCATATGATTTGTATGAAAAAAAATAACATTTCCTAGTCGCCCAATGACAAAAGTTAGGGATCAGGGTCCACAGGGCTCTGCTAGAGCACAGCCCTGTAATACACAAACTACTGTTAGTAGTACATTAGACTCAAATGATAGCAGCATATGCAGGTCGGTTGTTCAAACATTCAATAGCTCTATTCACTAGATAAATTCCTATCCAGAGGATAAGTGTTATGGAATCCGATTGGTTACCCACTGGATAGGGATTTATCCAGTGAATAGCCTTAACAACCTTTCGAAAAATGGGGTCCTTTCCTTAGGGAGTTTTATGTTATGTAGGTTGTGTTTTGTACACAATAAGCTAGAACGAAACAACAAGTAAAACCAATGCAAACTCTGCCGATCCCAACCTCTAGAGATCTAAAATTTAGAGAGACACTCTTTTGCAGTGCCTTCCCACATCAACTATCCCAAATAAGGCTTTGGTGACTCCTGGTGTAATATCAAATTCTCCAGTTGATTTGCATGTTCAGATGTTGGTAAAGTAGAAGTAGAATCTGG